ACGTCTGAGAAAACATGTACAGGATTGCACTTTTAGAATTAATTTCCACACTGCTTTCTTTTTCTTTTTGCACAGGTGTAGGTGACTACAGAGGAAAATATGTTCTATGTTGACAATTCAATGGATGAAAACCTCATTGAGTGTCTATTTTGCCAAGCTTGGAAATCACTATACAGTGGTACCTCTGGATATGAACGGAATCTGTTCCGGAGCCCCGTTCGCATCCTGAAGCGTGCACGGGTCGTGATTTGTGGCTTCCGGGCATGCGCATGACGTCATTTTGGGCGTCTGTGCATGCGCGAGCGGCGAAACCCGGAAATAACGCGCTCTGTTACTTCCGGGTCACCACGGAGTGCAACCCGAAAGCGCTCAACCTGAAGCAACTTCAACCCGAGGTATGACTGTACATTGCAGCTCCCAAACGCACACACATGCAGCAAACTAGGCACAATTCTCACCTATGTCTTGGTATGAGGAAGGACCACCATTCAGTGGCAGAACATCTGCGTTGAGTGCAGAAGGTTCTGGAGCCCTAGGATCTCTATGCGGAGCTGAGAACCTTTAAGATCAGTGCCCCCATTGGAGGATTAGTTGTGCCATGTCACAATCCTGGATTTGCGTGAAGTCAGGGTGGGATAGGGGAGCAAATGAGAAGACAGGTTGCGCAACACCGGTGCTCATTGAATGGGAGTGAGGAGGGAAACGGCAGTTCAAACAAAAGCAGAGGTTTGAGTGAAGCAGGGATGGAGGGAGCTGAAACAGGGAAAGTGGCTTTTTAAAACAGTGACAGAGTTTGATTCTTTATATATCATTTCCCAGAATGCTTTTATCACCTTATAGGACCACGACATATGGTGAAGAAAAATGTTTATAATAACCTTTATAAAGAAAATCCAGAAGCTTTTTTTATTGGGAATTGTAGGTACTGATACAGTGGTGCCTCGCAAGACGAAATTAATCCGTTCCGCGAGTGTCTTCGTCTAGCGGTTTTTTCGTCTTGCGAAGCAACCCCATTAGCGGCTTAGCGGATTAGCGCTATTAGCGGTTTAGCGGCTATTAAAGGCTTATCGGCTTATCGGCTTAGCTGCTAAAAAGGCTATTAAAGGCTTAGCGGCTTAGATAAATGGGGGGGAAAGCGAAAAAAAATCTCAAGACTCGGAAGACATTTTCGTCTTGCGAAGCAAGCCCATAGGGAAATTCGTCCTGCGAAGCAACTCAAAAACGGAAAACCCTTTCATCTAGCGGGTTTTCCGTCTTGCGAGGCATTCGTCTTGCGGGGCACCACTGTATCCCAAAGGAGCAGAAAAGACTTTTTATGTATGCAACAACAGCCACAGGGATGTTACTAGCCCAGAGATGGAAAGAGGATGAAGTCCCTACCAGAGAGGAATGGCAAAGAATAGGCCGAAATGGCAAAATTGACTGGAAGGCTCAGGAACCAAGATGACAAAAACTCTAATAAAGACTGGAGAAAATTTATAATTTATTTAGGAGACCACTGTAAGCAGATGAAAACATAGGCAGGATTTTAACAACACTTGTAGCAAATATTGTGGTTAATATGGAAAGATACAAAATATGGATTATGAAATAATGTGCAGTTGAAAAGGTTAATAGGACCCATGGAGGGGATGGTGGGAAGTCTGGAGATTCAGAGAAATATCTAAATATGGGTATGTGTTTCGTATTGTTATAATTCTATACTTGTAAAATCAAATAAAAATTATTTCAAAAAAAGAGGAAAGAACAGTGACAGAGTTTGAGTAGAATGTGCAGGGTGGGAAGGGGAAACAAAGGGGTTAATCTGAAGCGGGTGGAGTCAGCCATTTTTGTATGTGTGTGTATCCAAAGAAATTCAGTGCCTGACTAAATTGTTAGCGACAACTGAAACTGTCCGCAAATGCCACTTTTCATATTTCGTTTTAAATATATAGGGAAACAATCGAGATTGCCTGCCTCCTAGTAGTACAGTGTTAAGTACCTCAGGTTAAGTACTTAATTCGTTCCAGAGGTCCGTTCTTAACCTGAAACTGTTCTTAACCTGAAGCACCACTTTAGCTAATGGGGCCTCCTGCTGCCGCTGCGCTGCTGGAGCACAATTTCTGTTCTCATCCTGAAGCAAAGTTCTTAACCCGAGTTACTATTTCTGGGTTAGCGGAATCTGTAACCTGAAGCATATGTAACCTAAAGTGTATGTAACCTGAAGCATATGTAGCCCGAGGTACCACTTTATTCCTCATGTCCTGGTGTTCCAATAATATTCCTAATATTCCTAAAACTGGTGTATTGTGGGAAATGTCTTGCAATGACTACTGACTTCAGCATCTCACAATCTCCTTCAATTAGTGCCAATTACCAGTTTCTGGTAGAACAATCCCATTCAATTTGACTTATGTTGACTATCTATTTTATTCTGAAAACCCCTCCCATAATATTAGACCATTAAATTGATGCAACATTGGCATAGCTGTCAACCTTTCCCTTTTCTTGCGAGGAATCCTATTCGAAATAAGGGACTTTCCCTTAAAAAAGGGGAAATGTTGACAGCAATGAACAATGGGTGTTCTGTGACCCGAAAGAGTTTTATTTTTAAATTTTCATCTTTTCGCCATATTGCCTCAGGAACATATTTCAGCCGTCAAATACCTCAGACATTTACAAATTCGCATCAAGCAGTTTCTGTGTGATGTCATTTTTACAAGGCATAAGTAAACATCTGGGGGGAAACTGTTCAACAGAGCTGGCAGGAAATGTGGTGACATATTTTGAAAAGAGCATTTAGGGCCTCATGGGAAACCTTCAAAAACATTATTTCTGAAGAAATAAATACACATTTCAAGTTGCAACCTTTATTTTTATTTATTTTTTTAAATACTGGGGCAAATTCTGTTTTAACAACATTATCCCTTAAGAGTGACTCTGTCATTGGTCTCTGATCATCATTTGAAGCTGTGATCTCCTCCTCTCTTGGTCTTTTGTAACCCTTCAGCAGTCCCCAAGATGCATAAAGGTGTGAGGAAGAATGCCAGAAATGGGACATTTCAATGGGGAAGGCCAAGGATAGGAAAGAAAATTCCATATCTTGTAGATTATAAGCCAAGGGGAGGCCAGTTATCCAGTCCCCCACCCAAAAAACCCCTCAGACTGGGGTAAGAGCTTTAGCATGCTGGAGACAAAGGCACAAAGCAAAAGTAGTCCCATGTCTCAAAATATTTAAGATAAGGCAACGTTAGCACTCAGAAATGCTTGGTCTCAGGCTACTGCTGGTTATTTGAGTCCCCGTTGCTACCGTACCAAATTAAGCAAAGTTTATCAAGTGAATTGTGAATTACTGTATCCAGCACCTTAATTTTAAATGGGGTTATATATATTCAAACTAAGTAGTGTTGAGGGAAGCGGGTGGTGCTGTGGGTTAAACCACAGAGCCTAGGACTTGCTGATCAGAAAGTTGGAGGTTCAAATCCCCGCGACGGGGTGAGCTCCTGTTGCTCGGTCCCTGCTCCTGCCAACCCAGCAGTTCAAAAGCACATAAAAGTGCAAGTAGATAAATAGGTACCGCTCCGGCGGGAAGGTAAACGGCGTTTCCGTGCGCTGCTCTGGTTCACCAGAAGCGGCTTAGTCCTGCTGGCCACATGACCCGGAAGCTGTACGCCAGCTCCCTCGGCCAATAAAGCGAGATGAGCGCCGCAAACCCAGAGCCGGCCATGACTGGACCTAATGGTCAGGGGTCCCTTTACCTAAGTAGTGTTGATAGGATGGAGATGTAGGGATGATCGCTGGGTCTGGAGCACACTCCCCACCCGCAGGCAGCCTCAGCCTGCCTGCACGCATGACCTTGGGGTGTGGGGCACACTCCCCCTCACAGACAAAGCCACAGCTGTCTAACATCATGCCTTCTGTCTAACCTTTTGCGGTCTCAGTAGTCTGCGGTGTCCTGTCTGTGACCTTTGTCTCTGAGACCTTTTGTCTCCTTCGTCATACACTGTGCAAGGGGAAAATGATGCGGTGGAAACAGGTGCCAAAATAACTTTGTGCCGCCCCACAATCTCGGGACTGGAAGATGTGTAAAGGTCACAGCCCAAAATGTATCTGCCTGGGTTTGCATATTTGTGTCAATAAAAGGAGCCTCCACAGAGCTGGCCAGCAGCTTGCTTGCAGCTCACCTGTGCGCAGCTGACCAGCATTATCAACTCCTGCCTCATGGAGATACCAAGGTTAAAAGACATCAGGGAACTAGCTTCTAGGGGCTGAGGCCTTCAGGGGGCCCTATATTTTTGACGTAGGGGCCAGCCCCACCCCCATTGTCCTAAAAGTGCAGAGCCGAACGTGGCATGCCTCCAGAGATTGGCTCCTCCTCCTGCTGCTGCAGCAGCGGAGGGGAAGGAGGGTCAAAGTAGCCCCCTTCTAGTGGCGGTACGAAAAGGAGGCGGAGAAGGAGCCACTGGCCCTTGAGCTATGCGGTCGCCATGTTCAACTCTGCCCCCGGCTCCTCCCAACATCCTGTTGGGATTTTGCCTACGTGCAGCTTCCCACAGAGGCAATTAAGAGTTGGCCAAAGGCCAAGAAGACTGAGCAGAGGGAGTTATTCTGCCAAGAGATGTGGGGCCTTGGATACAGCTCTGCTATTGGTCGAGGTCTCCACATAGGCAAGATGACTCATGACCTTCCTTGGCTGGATAGTTGGTTGGTCAGTGTGGTGTTCTGAGAGTCGTTTGGAGTTTGTTAAGAGAGAGAGTTTAAGATCCGTGTCTGTATCTTGTATATAGTAACTTGTAGAGTCTGCTGTAAATAATAAACACCTCTAAGTAATCAAGTTACTAGTAGCAGTGTCGTGTTCCTGCTTCATCCTACCTGCCTGCAACTGATTGCTTCTGGAAGTCTGCGTATGCTCTGCTATATTCAACTGGGTCTGGCTAAGATCCTGCAACAGGTGAAAGTTGCGAAACATCAATACATCATGCATGTGATGTCATGACATTGTGATGTCACGTACACAACATCAGCCCCCGCCAATCGCCCTCGCAAGCCAGTGCCTCTGGAAGACTGGCTAATGATGTTTGGCGCTATTGCATGAAAGGTCAAACTGACTGACATTATCAAGGCAAGACAGACCAGACATCATGACAACCGCTTTACTGGAAAGTGGAACGTCTTTATATAACTTTTATAGCCACCTTTCTTTTCTGAAAAAAAGTTTTTCTTTAAGTGCAGCTACGATTTCCCATCACCCTCAAGCTGTTTCGTTCTAGCCATAAACTTATGTCTTGATTTGTCAGTGAACTCAACTGGCAACCAATCAGAATGGGAGAGGGGTGAGATCATCATCCTGCCTTGTGGCTCATAGAGTAAGGCAATGAGAAAGTAGTTGCAACAATCCACGATTGGGAAAGCTAGCAGCTAGCTGTTGGAGTTGTGTTGTCATTGGAACAGGAATGGGAAACCAGTGACCCTTCTTATATTGCAGCCTGCCATCATGCCCAGGGATGATGGCAGTTGTAGTCCAACATGGTCTGGATGTTTCCTTTCAGGTTTCATTTCCTGGAATAGACCAAAGATCTTGCAACCTAAAGGCCATCCAGGGTTGTTTTTTAAAAATAAATAAATTATGTTATAATCACACGGCCCTGAGGACTGCCACAAAATGTGATGGTTCTGTTGTATAAATAATGGGCCACCAGAAAAAGAATCAGATTTAATGTCGATGATGATGAAGATGAAGTGAGCATTGAATTCAAATCTTTTGAATCTCACCCTGGTGCCAAAGTCATCAAAAAGTATCCTCCTCTTCTTCTCATTTGATCACCAGTTTCTTGCACAGCAATATAGAGATCCAGACACACCAGTGAAACAGAAAACCCTGAACACTACTCAGCCTGATGGTTATTGAAACTTCCAGGTGGGCATATTCCATTGATTTTAATAGGTTTGGGAACAGTCCATCAAGACAGAAAACTGTGTTTTGCTGCCCACCTGCCTATCTTTCATAGAAGAAGTGGAGGTTGAAAAATACAGCAGAATACTGCTTACAAAGAGAAAAATAATTACTGCTCTGTGTTAATCATGCCTAAGCATACTGTGCTTCAATTGCCTAGTATTATTCTTGCTCGAGTGTCTTTTATCTTCCTTAGCCCACTTGGGTACACTGTAACCCAAGTATGCTTAATATACAATAGAAATAATTACTCTTGGAGTGATTTGAAGAACCTGGCAGCACCCCACAAATTGAGATATCCAATCAATATTGTGTTCTGCTAAACAATTATACCTGACGATGATGAAGCAGATGGAAGCAGCCAAAAGCACATCATTCAACTGGAACCACTGATTGCTGTTGGTGGGCCTCTGGACAAGGTCTTGCAAATAAATGCCGAATTTGTAATTCTGTTGGTGGCTCTTGTTTCCAGGTGTGTGTCCTCCATGAAGAGATTTCAATAAAAGGAATAGCACCTACTCTGTGATTTTCCAGTTATTCAAGATATCTGCTCTTTTAGGACCTCTTGAGGGCCTTCTTAGTAGTGGCACCAGTGCTTTTTTCTGGGGGAACGCAGGGGTACGCATACCTCTAAACATTTTGTGAATCTAATTTTGGCCTCATTGAGGGCAGTATTTCAATATGAGTAGGAAAATAAGGGTACCCCTGAGCATTTTTTTTAGAAAAAAAGCACTATCACCCACCCTGTGGAACGTCCTCCCATCAGATGTCAAGGAGATGAGTAACTATATAACCTTTAGAAGACTTCTGAAGGCAGCCCTGTGTAGGGAAGCCTTTTAATGTGTAATGTTTTCTTATAATAAATGTTGTAATAGATGTTGCCCAAAAATGGAAAGAAGAAGTCCCAGCAAAAGAAGAATGGATACAAAAAATTATGGAATATGCAGAAATTGTGAAACTTACTGGAAAAATAAGAAATCAAGATAGCAAAGTTTTTATGAAAGAATGGAAAAGGTTTATGGAATATTTGCAAACAAACTGTAAACAGAAAAGAACACTGGCAGGATTATTCTAATAACCTGCAGTTATATAAGAGTATGTATTTAAAGCAGATGAATAAATGAGCAAATTTAGTTAATTAAGCAAATTTAGTTAATTTGGATATGCAGAAAATATTAAAAATAAATTTAAGGAACCACAGAAAGAGGGGGAAGGAAGTCAAGTTTTGAAATTTTAAAATGATTGTAAAAGTATTGAAATGTATAAAACAAAAAAATCATGAGAGAAACTGAGAGAGAGAGAGAGAGAGAGAGAGAGAGAGAGAAATGAAAGATACATACACCATCATTTATAACAGGGTAGGCCAAAGGCATGATTTGGACCTCATGCTCCCCTCTTTAATATGCTTCTCATTCAAATATTCAAAAATGCAAGCACTAAACCAGCAGAGCTATCTAAAAGGCAGAAGACAAAGACAGCAAGACGATAGGATCTATGCGGAAACATTAAAGGTGAAAATGCATCTCCTCCCCCCTCCTCCTTTGCTTAAGACAATACTTATCTGCCGAAAGCACTCACAGACATGCCGCTAGCATACCTCTAATAATGTATTGCTTTGTAAGTGCTTAAAAGTCTATGGCAGTGTGAGAAAATAATCTGAGACTGAATCGCTGCCAACAACAGAATTTTATAGTAAAATAATGTACAGCAGGCAGAACCACTTTACCAGGCTGGGGGAGGGAGCCTATGGAGCAGACAAGGAACCATCATCCTTTCAGTACAGTGGTACCTTGGTTCTCAAATGCCTTGGTACTCAAACAACTTGGAAAGCAAAAACTGAAACCTGGAAGTTAGTGTTCCAGTTTGCAAACTTTTTTCAGAAGCCGAAGTCTTACACTTTCAATTTGAGTGCCACACTTCCGTTTTGAGGTCTGTCTGTTTTTGCTATTTATTTTGTGTTTTTGCGGGTTTTTTGTTTGGTTTTTGTGACTTCCGCTCTACCAGCTGAACTATCTATCCCTCAGGTGATTTCATAGAATCATAGAATCATAGAGTTGGAATAGACCACAAGGGCCATTGAGTCCAACCCCCTGCCAAGCAGGAAACAAACATGATGAGAAAACCTATTATTGGGCCACCAGTTCAGCCCAGGGCCATAGCACTGGGGAAAAGTGGAGGGGTTAACCCTTTCTGCTGTCCTATTTCCCAATCCAAATTGCCTGGTCGGGTGTGGGGCTTTGGAGCCAACTTCTAGGGGCCGAGATCCCTTCGCCCTCCCCATGAAATATTTGAGGGGGCCGAGACACCCCAAAGTTGATGGGCATTGCCATTCAAATGGTGTGTATGCACCACATCATGTGATTGATGGGGTGAGCTCCCCTTGCTCTGTCCCAGCTCCTGCCAACCTAGCAGTTTGAAAGCATACCAGTGCGAGTAGATAAATAGGTAACACTGTGGCAGGAAGGTAAATGACATTTCTGTGAGCTCTGGTTTCGGTCATGGTGTTCTGTTGCACCAGAAACGGTTTAGTCATGCTGGCCACCCTGGAAAACTGTCAGTGGACAAACACCGGCTCCCTCGGCCTGAAAGCGAGATGAGTGCCACAACTCCATAATCGCCTTTGACTGGACTTAACCATCCAGGGGTCCTTTACCTTTTTACCTTTACTGCTAACGGAGTATCTGGAGGAGTAGAACGTCAACTTTCTTCCTTTTTGGTGTATTCCAGCCAAATGGAATACATTACCAGGAATACTCTGAATCTCCTTCTGTAGAATCACTCAGAAAGCAAGTTCAGAAAGGGCAGACTATCCGACTCAATCTAACTTTCAGTAAAAGGAGGTGAGGTGGAAAAACACCAAACATTAAGAGGAACGGTGTTTTTTTAAAAAATAAAATAAAAGGAATAATTTACATTTCCATGCAAGTGTCTATTTTAAAGACAACAATAAGTTGTCATCACAGGCACTTAATGAAATGTGAACATTAATGGATTCCTTTTGTTATTTTCCAAGTCTGTGCCTCTTTTTTTTAAGAGGTTTGCGATGAAAGATATAAAATGGTGCCATGACAAATAAATGCTTACGGGTTATTCTTCTGGCTCTGAAACAATGCAAAAAGGATGGAATCGACACATTACTTTGGTTTAATTGTGTGACTACTATTGTGAAAAAAATGAAAGAAAATTCTGGTTTAAACCAGGTGAGAGAGGGTTAGACAAAAGCATAAGCACAGTGTCATTCCTGTTAGAAACTTGACAGAAATTATAGTTGTGGCTTTCATGGATACCGTGAAAATTAGTTTGAAAAACAAATGAGAAGAGGTGGTTTGTGAGGGGAGGGCCCCTGTGCTCTACAGCAGCCATCGGGGCAGCATAGGTGGGGCTGTGGGGCTGACCTAGAGGGGACAGGAGATGGACATGGCAGCACAGTGGAGACACAGCAATGGGCACCATTGGGTCTCCTGGCACTGTGCCCACACCATGTTAAGCAGCGGCAAGCAGGGTTGGGAAGCCTGGTCGGCAATGAAGCCCAGCTCCTCCTACTATTAATGGGCGATCATTTCTCAAGTTGCGACATGCCATAGTTCTCATGAGGAACTAAAGGGTGTGGAGAATTTGACCACACCCAAGTCCTCGAAGGAAGGCAGGAAGCGATGCGATGCTCCTTGACATGTGGGCAGAAGTTGTAGGCAGCCGTCTCCTTGCATAGATGGGTGCCTCCTTCATTCCTAACTCATCTTCATCCATCCCAAGAGATGTGGCTTTCATAAAAAGAGAGCTCAGGGAGATGAAAGGAAAGGCAAGCGCAGGCAAAATTCATTAATTGAACAGGACATCCTATTAAGTCAATGACTTTGCTCTGACGCACTAATGTTGTACATGACAAAAGTACCAATGTGACCACTTTCTTTTTTTCAGTGGCTTGACTGATGAGCACCAGCGACAGAAGGATATAAACCAGTATTTCAAACCTGGTATTTTCAGATTCCATAGGATTTCCTCCATTAAATGGCTAATGGTTTCTAACAACGTAAGTAACAGCAACTTAAACGGACACCAATAAACTAGACAGTGACTCTGGCAACCTCCTTCCTTCCTTCTCACATATCTGTCCCCATTCATGGACAAATCATGGGGAAATGGGTCTAATGTTTGATGTTTTATTGTGTTTTTAATATTCTGTTGGGAGCCACCCAGAGAGGCTGGGGAAACCCAGCCAGATGGGCGGGATATGCATAAAAAATTATTACTATTATTATTATTACAAAGTTTAACAGCGGACACATAAGTGGATGAAGAACTTTTCCATCCCTTCCAGCTTGCCACCCTGAAGTCCATCTTCCCAAGTACTTTCTGCCCAGCTTGCAGAGTTGGAGTCTGTCTGGGGATAAATTAAATAAAGGCAATGGACTTGCACACACTTTAAAATACGACATTACAACTCCCACCCCAGCATTTTCAGGGCAGTTGGGGACTATGAACGAGCAGAACAAGAGGTTGATGCAGCAATTAGTTTCACAGTTGACAGTGAAGTATCTGCTCTAAATCTTTCCAATGACATTCTATCCATAAGAACGTTCTGGAGAACTGTGGAGCACTGGTACATTGTTGGCCCAAATTAGATTCATGACTCTTGTGCCCAGAGCAGTCTTGAGGTATAGCTTTAATTTCTAAGGTCATTGTAATGGGTTTAGGGGTTGCTCGTGCGTAAGTTGCCGCCACTCCTGGCTAGGTTACCTGGTTAACCCTTTCTGACTGAACAGCCTCCAGCATCGTGACTGTCTCAGTCGCTGGCAGAATCCGTCAGTGGGCGTTTCTTAAACTTCTTCCAGCACAAAAGTTCCTTGACGCCAAGTCTCCTCCTACTCTCCCTGCGCGGAAGTCTTCTGCGCAGGGAGGGTGTGGGCAGTGGAGTACCCGTACTCTCTCCGCTGGTCTCCGGCGAGGAGTCTTGGAGCCTCCTCCCGATTCCCCATCTGCCCCCCTTCTCTACTGGTGTTACGCTGATTTCCTTCCCCAGCAGACGGGCTCCCTCTCTCCCTACTGGGACCCTTTCCGCCATCCCTTTGGAGCCTTCCCTCCACTTCCAGCTCCTATGGCAGTTCCCTGACAGTCATCCACTAGAACAAACTCAATTAAGTAAGCAGGGCACTTGCATGATCAGAAACTCAACTTACCTATTCATCTTTTGTTGCCTTCTCCTTAAAATACCATATCTAGTTCTGTAGAGATTCATATATTTTTTCCACTCTGAGCTGCATTCTGTACTTTTCTCTTGAGAAAGCAATGTCGTGCCAAAGAACGGTCCGGTAATTCAGAGATTGCATCTCAAACTTTCTGTTTGAGATATTGTTATTCAGTGTATTTATTGCTATCTACTTGTAGATAATAGAGATGCATTTTCTTGGTCCACTCAGATATATTCTGGTTATATCTCACAGCGAAGGGACTTTATCCATGAGAAGGTCAACTGAAGACTCTGTGACCCAACTGTTGCTTGACATTTTTTTATTTAATAGGCTATTTCTGTAGACCTTTTCTGTAACATTTTTGATGGAGAAGTCATGGTCAGACAATAGATAAATCCTCCCAGAAAACACAAAACAAGGTATACTGACATAATGCATTTTAAAATTACTCATGTTCATACTGATTGAAAAACCTATATTTATATTTTCATTTCAGATCCTTACCACTCATTGCTTTCTGTTTAACTGCTTTTGCGTCATTCCAGTACCCAGTCCGCTAACCAGACCCAAGCATTGTTCCCCCAAAATACCTAATTTACCGTTTATACAGAAAACCTATGATAAAATTTAATGATGTTTAGTCTCCTACCTATCTTAACCTGCACAAAATGATAGCATTGAATGTAAAATATTAACCAGAGTAAATTGAACTACAGTGGTATCTTGGTTCTCAAACTTAATCCGTTCCAGAAGTCCGTTCCAAAACCAAAGCATTCCAAAACCAAGGCACGCTTTCCCATAGAAGGTAATGCAAAATGGATTAATGCTTTCCAGACTTTTAAAAAAATCCTAAAACAGCAGTTTAACACGAATTTTACTATCTAATGAGACCACTGATCCATAAAATGAAAGCAATAATCAATGTACTGTACTATAAAATGACTAAGACAGTATGGAAGATGATAAAATTTAAAATTATTTTTATTTTTTCTTACCTGCACTGATGATAGTCATTGTTTGGATGGGGGACTTTTATCCATTTCTACAGTCACACAATCAATCAGTAGCTGAACTGGGCTCCACACAGTCACAAAAACAAATGAACCGAAAAAGCCTCAAAAACAAAAACACAAAATAAATAGTAAAAACAAAAGTGCCAGACTTAATCCATTCTGGAAGTCCATTTGACTTCCGAAATGTTCAAAAACCAAGGCACAGCTTCTGACTGGTACAGGCGCCCTGGAAACAATAGACGACAACCGCATCAGACGTTTGGCTTCTGAAAAATGTTCGAAAACCGGAACACTTCTGGGTTTTCGGTGTTTGAGAACCAAGGCGTTTGAGAACCAAGGTACCACTGTACAGTGATCTGCCATTTTGTGCAGCTGCTAGTGATCCGTCAGTACAAAGCTTGCTGGATCCACACTCCAAGGTGGTGGTAGGTGATGGTATCTTTCCCTTGGAGAAAAAAGATACCCCATCCGTGATAAGCCTAGTGATTTACCTATCCTTCATCCATTAAACCACCCCACCTACCTCTCACAATGTCCTCCTCCTTCCCCCATCCTCTTCCTGTGCTGCTGTAACCATCTTCTCCTGGATGACTCTACAAACACCAAGCACCAACACTGCCAACTGTAACCATCCCACTTCTGCTCTCTGTTGACCATTGTTAGGTCATAGATATACTTCTAGCCCAGCATCAGCCAATCACGCTGTTCAATGAACATTCTAAACCCACACGCACCAATTGAAACAGTCCAACCAACCGTTCTTTTGCATCCTGAGAATTTTAACCCTTCCTCACAGCTTTTGGTTCAGACCCAAGTGACAGTTAAACTGACTTTCAGTGGACCAGGCAGAGATCTTCCTACATCAAATGCATTACAATGTACGCTACAATCGAGAGAAGACATGGCACAACGCCTATTAAAACCTGATTCAGATAAATAGGCCTCCTTTGCAGTGTCCTGTGCGACTGAGTTAAAATGATTCAACAGCATATCCCTCTCTTTTGGGAATGTAATTCTTTGAGCAGCGTAGGAAACCTTGACGGATAAAATGAGCTTTCATTGAGGAATGCCCAGGAAAATGCAAAGGAATGTAAAGGAAGACACAAAAGACCAGCTGAACAGAGAATCCAAGTTCCCCAAAATGCATTTACTTACCATGTATACAGAAAACCTACGATAAAATACTACATTCTGAGTCAGCTGTAGCATATTAGCATAGTTACCTATCTAACCTCTCCAACAAAATGACTAAAACTTTGAACTAAGGTACACTATACCTATGGAAATAAAACAAAAAATAAAATCCTACCTGTGAATGTAATTCACTTAATTCGTTCTGGAGGTCTGTTCTTAAACTGAAACTGTTCTTAACCTGAGGTACAACTTTAGCTAATGGGGCATCCCACTGCCGCCTCACCGCTGGAGCACAATTTCTGTTCTCATCCTGAGGTAAAGTTCTTAACCCGAGGTACTATTTTGGGGTTAGCAGAGTCTGTACCCTGAAGCGTCTGTAACCCGAGGTATCACTGTAATTAATCAATTCAGATTAAGTGAATAGTGGGCATATTCCAAAGCCACAAAATATGTTCCTCAGCTATCAAGTGGCTGTTAGGAATGAATACCAAAGGCTGTTCCACATGAGGAGCAGCAACTGAGATGGCATCAAAACATTGTTGAGCAACCATCATTGTGACCTCAGTGGTATTATGCATGCATTTAATTAAGGGTATATAAGCCTACAACAGTCTGCTAGGCAGCTTGGAGACATCAAAAAGTATCACTGCCATAGATAATATTTTTGGTTGACTTGGCTTTGGTTGTCTCCCGAGCCAAGAGAGGCAGGGGTTAAGTCGCTCACCCCAACAGAGGTGGTCTGAAGAGGCAGGAGGTGGAGTTAGCGCTTAACAGGACAGCCCGAATTGGGCCCCTCAATATGATCAAAGGCTGAGCTTCAAACCCCAAACTGAGACTGACTCCAAGTAATTCCAGCTGACCTAATTGCTGTGGAAGCCTCTAAAGAGCAATCAGTCAACAAGACAAGGGGTGAGAGGTGGTAGGAAGAGGCAGGAGGTGGAGATCTGCTTTGAAGCCAAGCTGTAAGCTAAGCGCATTCATTCTTGGCAACTCATTTCCACAGCTGCTGCTCATAGCGATCACTGGCTTTTGCCCAGACCCCATTTGGGTATGGCTGCTTGCTGTAGCCTTCAGCCCCTTTCCATGCTTTTTAGCTGCAACAACAATCTTTTCACCAGTTCAATCTCTTATATATATATATATATATATATATATATATATATATATATATGATTTTCAGTTTTATACATTTCACTAATTTTAAAATCATTTTAACATTTCCAAACTTGACTTCCTTCCCCTTCTTTCTGCAGTTCCTTAAACTTATTTTTTATATTTTCTGCATATCCAAATTAACCTAATTTGCTCATTTATTCATCTGCTTTAAATATATACTCTTATAAAACTGCAGGTTATGACAATAATCCTGCCAATGTTCTTATCAGTTTACAGTTTGTAAATATTCAATAAACCATTTCCATTCTTTTATTATTTTTTTATTATTATCTTGATTTCTTATTTTTCCAGTAAGTTTCGCCATTTCTGCATATTCCATTAAGTTTTTGTATCCATTCTTCTTTTGCTGGGACTTCTTCTTCTTTCCATTTTTGGGTAAGTAACATTCTTGCCGCTGTAGTTGCATACATGAATTAATTTCTGTACAGTTTGGGTAGTTATGTCCCTATAATTCCCAAAATGAATCTCTTTCAGCACAGTTTTTAGACCACGACTTAGCATCAGCAGGGCAGAACTATTAGCAGTTCATCTGGAGGTGAGGATAAGAGTTACTAGTAGAAAAGATTTTCAAGTGAGCATTTTGAAACTGTTGTAAACAAAAATCTGCCCTTTTCCCCTTATGGGGTGTCCAAGAGCCCATATAGAGTCCTTACGTAGGTTCCCTATTGGTAGGAGAAAATAACAGAGGCCAACCAGAGAATATTGAGAAGCAAAGCAGCTAGTAAGCAGGAAAGGAGGAGGAACCCAGAACAAAGGTGTGCCTGCCCTTATATAGACATTTTAATATTTCTGCCCTGGAGCTCAAGACCACCCCTCCATACATCATACATACATCACAGAAGGGGTGTAACCTAAGACCACCCCCAGATACATCGTACTTGCATCACAGAAAAGGCAGAAATCTACAGCAGAAATCTGAGTGCGTTGTTTATCTCGTCTGACAGGTTACCTGTTAATGCTCACTTGATTGGATACCATGGGGAGCCTGGCCAGTCTTTTGTAATGATAAATACTTAGTTCCTGAGCCAGGTCACAGGCTCACCCTATTCAAACACAGACATACCCTTAAGACAGGATTTGTGAAGGAAAAGACAATGGGGAGACTTTTCCATTTTCCTTTGACCTTGCAGAGGAAACATTTGGTCAGTTTGGGAATCAAAAATGGTTTCACGTCGGTCTTCCTGTGCTCATCTATGTATGTGTTTGGTTGGTACATTTATGAACCTTTATTATATATCTAAGACTTTGAAATTCTTATCATAAAACACATGGTCACTGCTTGTGTGCTAGTGCTGAGATTATAGTCATGCCTGAGAATACACAGGTTAGATTACTGCAATGTGTAAAATGTGGGCCTGCCTTGGAAGATACCTGGTGCCTTCATTACATATCTTCAGGTGTCAGGCAAAAAGATTCCTTTTCAACCAGGCTTTCAGCTGTTAATCTATGGCCTTTTAAAGCAGGGGGCGGGGAGGAATATTGTCATTTATTTATTTTACTATTACTATAGTATGTACTTTGCCATTTATGTTGCAAATTGCCCTGTGGTCTCTTGATGAAGGGGTGGTATATAAATTTAATCTATTCATTCATAGGAATACTGACTGCTGATGTCACAAAGGCACAGAAGTCTGCGTTCCAGACAGTTTTGCTCTTGATTTCTTTGAAGCTCATGGAGAGATTTCTCACAGGTGAAATTCCAGTTAGAACTGGACCATATTGAGTGCTATACACAAGCTATGATGTTAGGTCTGGATGGAGAAAGCCCAGGTTGGAATCTCTGCTCAGCTGCGGAAGTTACAGAGCAGTGTTTCATTGAGTCACCACCTTTCAGGGATGCGGGTGGCGCTGTGGTCTAAACCACAGAGCCTCTTGGGCTTGCCGATCAGAAGGTTGGTGGTTTGAATCCCCATGATGGAGTGAGCTCCTGTTGCTCTGTTCCAGCTCCTGCCAACCTAGCAGTTCAAAATCACGCCAGTGCAAATAGATAAATAGATACCACTGTGGCGGGAAGGTAAACAGCATTCCCGTGCGCTCTGGTTTCCGTCATGGTGTTCCATTGCACCGGAAGCGGTTTAGTCCTGCTGGCCACATGACCCAGAAAGCTGTCTGTGGACAAACGACAGCTCCCTCGGCCTGAAAGCGAGATGAGCGCTGCAATCCCATAGTCGCCTTTGACTGGACTTAACCATCCAGGGGTCCTTGACCTTTTTACCTTTCAGGTTAACCTCTCTCAAAGGGTAGATGTGATGTCATATTCATGTAGAGAAAGAGGAAGGTGCAGATAACAATTCAGCTGTTTATTCACTGATTTTCTCAACAGTACCTCTTCTAGTAAAGTGGTTTAGTAGGAGAAAGTAGACCGAGAGAAACCCCAATAGTTGGCCGCGTGTTTACACCTGAACCTCAGAATATTCTTCCTTAGACGCATGACTGACAAGCGTTTCCATTCCCTATGGAAAAAATGCTATGCATGTGGACACAGCCCATTTCAGACTGATGCTGATCACGTGTCAGCCAGGAGGTGTGGCTAATACGCACATTGGGATCTAGTGGGTGTGGCTGGCCTTGCTAGATTACGGAAGTTTTTAATGTTTGATGTTTTATTCTGTTTTTAATCTGTTGGGAGCCGCCCAGAGTGGCTGGGGAAACCTAGCCGGATGGGCAGGGTATAAATAATAAAATAATAATAATAATAATAATAATAATAATAATATAGTTCTTTCATGTATTCAATGTGCTCATGTACCATATATCTGACTAGAGCTACTACTATTGCATCTTACGAATGTTTCCCTTCGCCGTCGCTCCCCCTCCCCGCTTGAATGCAGAGAAGATGGGTGATGGGCCAAGTTTTAAAATGCAGCTACAGTGGTACCTCTCGTTACAAACTTAATTCGTTCTGTAGGTCCGTTCTTAACCTGAAACTGTTCTTAACTAGAGGCGTGCTTTCACTAATGGGGCCTCTTGCTGCTGCTGTGCCACCAGCACACGATTTCCGTTCTCATCCTGGGGCAAAGTTCTCAACTCGAGGTAACTCTTCCAGGTTAGCGGAGTTTGTAACCTGAAGCATTTGTAACCTGAGGCACCACTGTATCTGGGT